GGCACTGGGGAGCCCCTGCCCAGAGATGGGAACAGTATTCCATGTGAGGCCGAACCTGCGCCTTGTAAAGTTGTAGGCGGTGTGCCGGCATGAAATACTGTCCCGCTCTGCTGAGCACGCCAAGCTTTTTAGAGGCCAATTTGGCCTTCTCTTCCAAGTGACCACGAAACTGCACGTCACTCGATATGTCGACTCCGAGGATACCGATACTGGCTGAGGCAAGAAGGGGAGTGCCTTGAAACTGAGGAGATACGACAAAGGGGTTCTTTTTAGCGGTAAACGCGCAAACTTGTGTCTTCTGAGGATTAAACTGGACTAGATTTAGTCGCCCCCAATCCGAGACTTTGTCCAGCAAAGACTCGACTTCAGACACAAGTTTGTTCCGGTACTCGGCGACGTTTTCCCGAGAAATATTGGCCCGGCCGGTGTATAGAGCATCACCAGTGCTGTCATCCGCATAGCAATGAATGTTACCAGTTAGCAACATATCATTGATATGCAGAAGAAACAGCGTTGGTGATAGCACACAGCCTTGTGGAACACCAGCGTTAATAGGCTTGTAGTCAGAGCATGCACCGTCTACAACGACCTTGATGCTCCGATCTGCAAGGAAGCTGGTGATCCAATTGCACAATTTCTCGGGAAGCCCATAGGAAGGCAGCTTTGAAAGAAGCGCTTTGTGCCAAACCCGATCAAAGGCCTTCGCAATGTCCAGACTAACAGCCAACGCCTCCCCCTTGGACTCTACTGCCTCCGCCCATCTATGGGTCAGGTAGACAAGAAGATCACCAGCTGATCGACACCGACGAAAACCGTATTGGCGGTCACTAATCAGCTGGTGATCCTCAAGGTACCGGATGAGCTGGCAGTTAATAATGGATTCCATTATTTTGGAGAACAAGGAGGTGATCGCGATAGGCCTATAGTTGGACGGGTCTGAGCGGTCGCCTTTTTTAGGGATCGGGTGGACAAAAGCTGTCTTCCATGAATTCGGGACTACGCCTTGGGAGTAGGAGTACCGGAAAAGACGCGTTAGGACCGGTGCCAACTCCGGAGCACACGTCCTCAGCACAATTGGGGGGATTCCGTCAGGCCCACTCGACTTCTGGATGTCCAGGGAGAGCAGTGCTTTGCGAACCGAGCGCTGTGAGAACAGCACATCTGGCATGGAGCACTCACACCGCGGGATGGTTGGCGGTGTTTTCCCCCCGTCATCAAGAGTCGAGTTGGACGCAAAAAGGGAGCCTAAAAGGTCGGCTTTGTCTTTTGCGTCATGGGCCAGTGAGTCATCCTCCCTGTGCAGAGATGGTAGTGATGGCTTACAGAAATTCCCTTGGACAGCCTTGGCGAGAGACCAGAATGCACGGGTTCCCGAAGGAAGGCGAACTAGTTTCTCGCCAATTCTGCCTATGTGCTCTGACTTTGCCTTGGCAATAACTCTTTTGAAGGACCTGGAGGCGAAGTTATACTTCTTTTTAAGTGTGCTGGTGTTTACATCCCGAGTCACCGAAGCTGCAGCCCAGACTTGATAACACTCCTGCTTACTGCGCAATGCAGTCTTACAGGAGCGACCAAACCAAGGCTGAGATCTGCCTCCGATGGGTACCACAGATGATGGAATAAATAGTTCCATTCCCTGTAGCACCACATCAGTGACAGAGTCAGCAACAGCACTGGGATCATCCGGCGAGAAGCAAACCCGCCCCCATGGGTAGGATGCAAAGAAAGACCGCATTCCGTCCCAATCCGCCGACCTGTAATGCCAAACACGGCGGCAACCTGCAGAACGCAACCGCGAAGGGAGCGTGAGTGGCACCATACTCCGGATCAGACAATGGTCCGAAGAGCCGAGAGGGGCATCGACGGAAACCTGATATCCGTCCGGATGAGAGGTCAGCAGAAGGTCCAACAGGGAAGGTGTATGATCCTCCACATCTGGAATCCGCGTAGGCGAAGTAACCAGTTGTGTCAGACCATATGCCAAGGCAAAGTCATAAACAGATCTCCCCGCATGATCGGTTAAACGTGAACCGAGCCATTCGGCATGGTGGGCGTTAAAATCGCCAAGGATCACGATCTCTGCGGATGGGACCTGTTGTAGCAAGGAATCTGTAGCCATTTGGACGTGGTCGATGAGTCGGTCTGTTTCGGCATTACCGCTATGGGACCTATAGAGGCACCCGTAGACGCGCGGATGGTCGTCGCTGTCTACGCGTAGCCAAAGGATGGACAGGTCCGAACCTTCAAGACTGCCGAGGCGTCGAGAACAGATGTCCTCTCTAACATACACGCAAACTCCAGCCCGAGGCACAAAGGAGTGCTCCAATTTGTACCCCGGGTAGGAGAGATACGAAATATCAGTCGGAGAGGAAACCTGCGTCTCGGTCAAAAAGAGCAAGGCCGGCTTCGCCGTCTCGAGATGGTAGTGGACGGCGTTTAGGTTACAGTGAAGTCCCCTGATGTTGCAGAAATTCACGGATAGCGTGGCAGGGGTCGCCTTGGTATTGTTGCTCAGCTTGCCCCGAGCAGTTTTGTTTTTGAGCGGAATTTTGCCCCCCCCAGAATACGCGGGGCAGCCTGAGCACCCACGCTCAGAATTGGAATAACATGGTCGTGGATGCTCAGCGAGGGATTCTCCAGGGGTACTGGTACCCTCCTGGGGTAGTCTATTGTCTAATTCCGCTACCATGTTGATGGGGGGGGGGGGGGGGGGGGAATTGGGCCTCCGGCCACCTGCACTCACCAGACGAAACGCAGAAGCAGAGCCTCTACTTCACGCCGGTATTCTGTGAGGTCGTGGTACCAACCCGGCTCGAGCCGGCCCATACGTGCAACAGCAAAAAACTGCTGCAGGGCTCTACCACCGTTAAAAAGACCTGATTTAGTTGGACGAACTTTTGAAAGCTTAAAGAATCAATTATAAAATAAACTAATAATTCAATGTCTGTAGTCATTGTAACGTTAATAATAATATGGATTTGATGTTTAGCTAAGAGTATAAGAACAATTTTATGTAGTGAAACGTTAATTGCACGCCTTACAACGTGAGGCGTGCAATTAACGTTTTGAGTACTTTCAGGAAAAATCTAAGAAGAAATTGTTACTTATTTTTTATATTAGTAATCATACTGTTGATGACGATGTAGATCTAAAATAAATAATTAAATTAGTAAAAGTTGTTAATTTATGACAACCCTAACCTCCATACGCTGTCTAGACGTTGTCGGCATTTACCAAGAGATCAAAGGCGTCGTCCTACTGTATGTTTATTATACTGTGCACCAGCTTTCAAATTAAAAAAAGAATTATCGAAATCGGTTCACCCAGTAAGAAGTTATGAGGTACCCAGTAAGAGGTTATGAGGTCCACATAAAAAAACATACAGTCGAATTGAGTACCGGCTCCTTTTTGAAGTCGGTAGAAAAAAATCTCTTCTGCTTTATTGTATTAATATAGAAGTATAATTTATAAAGTTATCTGATGAGTAGATAACATTTTGTGATAGATTAAAGTACAAAAAGGAATAAAGAAAGACTAAAGTAGAGGAAAAAAAAGGTAAGGACTAAAGTTTAACGGGCTGAATAGCGTTATGTTAAATCAAGTACAATATTTGTATTATATACACATTTATTACAATATTTATACATCAGTACGCAAAAGAAAATAATTCACAATACAATTTACATGTTTATTTACACGTAATTTATCCCGTTACACGTGAATAATGAAGCACAGGGAATGTATATATAGAATAAGTTAGTTTACCAAACCACTAAAACGTTCAAACAAAATTTGTTTAAATATCACGACACCTTGACTAGCCACTCAATAGATACCTAAGTTGTAAAGAGGGTAAAGTTTTCTTAACATATTCGCACTCGGAAATAATAAAAAAATAAGATGTTTCAATATTCACGTGCCAGGTTACAAGTATTCTTAAATACAAAACTTGCTCAGTAACTTCATAACTTATGATTTATTAAATGATCAGTTGTAAAATTTGAATGCATTAATAATTTAAAAAAAACGGTTAAAGATTTGGTTTTTCAATTGTGTCCTAAAATTATCCTATTACACCAGAAATATATATATATATAGACAGATAATCCTATGATTCAATTATAAGTCTACAAAATACCCAGACCAGCAACGGAGATCAATATCATATAATATATGATGTTATTGCTTGACCAGAATGACTGTACCGCGCGGCAATATGTCGTGGCCTTTCACCGCTTCGCGCTACCGTTGATATTCCTCACTTATTGCACTTATTGGATTTATGTTAATTGCTTAATATTAAAATAATCTCTATCTTACCCAAAGTCGAAACCAAGCGGCGCAGCCCTTGTGGTCAAACTATTAATAAATCAATCTATAGTAGGTATTTGTTTCATACACCAGATCTAGAGGAAAACAGACGATATACAAACACCATTATTTTCTTTCTTTATCTATTACTAATATCATTTTTTTTTAAATACGTGCATATAAATTATCACTTATCCCTTGGATTTTGATTAAATAGCTACTACATTGACTAATTGCCGAAAGGGATTAAAATATACATACTTACAAAGTGATTGTAGAAAAAAATCAGACATAATTAATCAGATGTCATTTAAAAGATTGTCACATCATTAAGTATTGACATCATTAAGTATTCTAAGCAATAGACAGTTTATTATATTGTGGCTCAGTGTATTAATTGGGCTTAACTGTTACTCATTAACAGCCTCGTGTATTATTAGGTTAGGTAACTTAGAATTAATTGGTTCTTTATATGAAAACAAATCGGTAGGTAAAATGGCTTACACAAAAGGAACAAGAACATCAAGTGGGCTTACATAATTTAGTTAATACCTTCGTATATTCTTGCATAGAATCATTCCAATTTAACATATACTGCTTCGACTACATGTAGCGAGTAAGCAATATAGATACATGTAGATGATTTACAATGCATGTTATCACAAAATGGCGGCAAAGATGAGGCGCGTTCAAAATGGTCGTCCGTTTTGCGGTCGCTCGGGCAGCTTTGGTGGCGCATTCGGAACTGGTCGGCTATAAATGTAAAAAAAAAACGGAACATTAGCATTGATTTACAAATTATATATTCATGTTACTATATTTACAAGATAACCGCTAAGAAAATATGGCAATTAAATATTTAATGTTCATTTATTAATGTTTAATCATTTAATTTAAAAGAAACCCATAAAAATCGGTGCCATACAATCTTTACGTTGTTAATAACATAACAAAACAGATAATGGGTGCTGATGAAAAAAAAACCTTGTTTCGAAAAAGCTAAGCCTTGTGCTATACCACAATAATAAAGCGTTCATTACCTTTTTACCTTTAAGTTGACCATGAATTATTAAACGATATGTGTGCTCGTTTTTATTGAAATCCAATAGAAACGAGAGTACATCTCAAACAAAATGTAAAAATAAAATATCCTATTTTAACAGATTTAAAAGCCTGTATTAAACATATTGCATGCTTTATCCACGGACGTCTAAAAATACGAACGTAATGGTACACAAAAAATGTGTACGGCTAGGTAAAGGACCTAGGATGCTAAACACATTTTCAGTGTAACATTACATACGAATTTTTAGAATTCCGTGGCTTTATCTTCAAAACAATTTACTCATAAAAAAAAAACAATATCTTATAGCAGTATTAACAAACGCATGCATTCGCATAATTCCCAGTTATTGTTATTTCAATAAGATTTTGAAGAAAAAGTCTAAATTATTAAATTTCTTAGACTTTTTTTAGACAATTCTTATAGAAAATATTTAATTTGTATTGTGACAGATTACTACTAAATCTTATTAAAATGTTGCATTAATCCAAACTCTGCTTACCTATGTTACGTCCGTAGGTAAATTGATCAGAAAATAACTGTTAAGAGAGGAAATAAAGCAAAACTTTTCAAATAAATATTTACCTACTATTATTAAATCAAACATTTTATATTTAATACACATATAGCGTTTAATCACTCTATTTACACAGCATAAGGATAACAATATTCATAAACTATATCAAATCCAACAATTTCTGCCTATACGTTTTTTGATAACACTAGTGCTATTTATTAACAAGAGAGAGAGAAAGAGAGAGCAAAACGTTCAATGATTTTCATTTCGTATCAATCTTGTTGCAATTCATGCGTAAAAAGGTGATGACAATGATACCAACGTTAGGAACTCGATTTTTTACAACCAGCAATCAGACAGATATCTTTTCTTTAAATGTGCAAGTTGATAATGATGATGATGATGATAGTGGTGTTGGTGATTTGATGATGACGACAAGGTATGGTTAGTAGATGCCAACTCTACTATGTTATGGCAATAGTCAAGATAAAAATTCCACTGATATATTATTATGTTATATTCAATAACAAACATTATAACGTTTCCAAATTGAAAGAAACATTCTAGTAATTGACCAAAGATATTGCTAACAGCAACAATATAATAAGAGACAATGACTTTGGTCTTACACATTATAAGTACAATATAGTTTTACGTACAATCATATTAAATTCAATCATTTGTGATAAATTCATGCAGTTACAATGCCACCGGTATTTGATTACATCAGTTAGATTAATATAGATTACCAAGAAAGCTTTAAATATTTTAGAATAAATACGTTAGTACAAGGAAAGTCGCATACTGGTTGCATTACACACTACATCCATTAAAGTGAGTAAGTCGCAACGCGATCTAACACTACTGTAATGTGCATCAACATCAACAACAACTTTGTCTTGATTACGTTACTTGAACATCTGTAAGCGCTTAACACAATTACAGAACCATACAGTGATATTGATATGCTCAAATTTGAACGCATACTTTTAAGTCATGTAAACCAAAAACCTTTCATATAGTCTAAAATCCAGACTTAAATCGACCTTCACTCATCGAGTTACCACTCATCGAGGTACCACAGAAGAAATTATTGTGGAAATTCATTGTAATCGAATGATATATTACTTTGAAATAAATTTGTCGGTACGATACGCGCGCCACCAAGACTTACAGTACTTACAGTACGATACTGAAGTTGCAATAAGTTGACATATTTTTACCGCAACCTGATGTACTTTATTTTTATTTTTTATACTTATATTAGATATTGTTTAAATAAATAAAACCTGCTCAATTATGCTTCGATAACATCTATGAATATCGATCAGCCTTGTCGTCACTGTTATTTTTCGTCTTTGTCTATTACAAGGAGAAATGTGCACACTTTTCGAGTTATTCTACGTCTTCTCTATCGCAAAGGTTTATACGTTCAGTGTTTCTCCTTCGCACCACGCTCTCATACTTAAATATTAGAACTATAATTGCGACAACCCTAAGATTTGACTATTTTTGTTAAGGCAACCCCATATCATTATTCACAACATTTTTTATATTTTAATATTTATAGAAATTCGGTAAGAGTAAATTACTCAACATACGCTTACCTACTCATGCCTGGCAAGGTTTCATTAATTCCGAGAAAACGACAGGCAACTTTACTTTGACGTTACTGGTGCTATTTTTTTAAGAAAATAACAGTAACTATAGAAAAAATTAAATTAAAAAGTTTTTAGTTAAAAACAGCTGTGCCGGGATATAAGGTGGCAAACCCTAGCACGTGTTGTTTGTTTTTATACAGTTATTTTGTTTTCGTTACAAAATTCGATAAGGAAGGTGAATTTAAGTCAGGATCTTGTACTATCCTACGAAGCCATAAAATTTCATTTTTTAATCTGTATTCATACATTTTACAGTTAATATAATCACATGATAGTTGTAGAACATTAATATTAGAATTGATTTTCTTATTTTATATACGTAATCAGTTATTATTCTATAGCATTGCAATACTGAGTTCATTCGCCATTTACTAATTTCTACCATTTTTTTAATATTATAATTCCTTCATATCTCATACTTTGGAATGTTAAAATAATCGAAGCCCATACGCTAGTTAGTTAATTAACAATATTATATTGAAACTAATAAGTAATAGTAATCGCTAAAAAAATATATATCTTGCATTAACAAAAAGTCATAAGCGTGTCGCATAGTGTGATGTTAAATATAAATACTTACAAGCACTGTTTGTTTCTCACAAGAAATGTGTGTGATCTTCATTAAGGGGTCTTTATTTGAGCAAGATACAATATTGCTTGAATCTGAGCAACATACGAATCCTTTTTAACATTTACATACAATAAGTTTTGCATTATAGCATATTACTTTAATTACACTATGGTAACACTGGTTTACTATCACTCGTCACATTTCATTGTCACTGCTCATTAAAATTTGCAGAATATGTACATAGACAATATATAATAGAGAACAACAAGCTTCCTGTTTATCGTAGTTAATGTTAACAAAATTATATTTGTTAAGAAAATATAATTAGAACTTTACATATTTGAAACAAATCAACCCTTTTTAAGAACAGTCTTTTCTTTAGAAAATATAAAACAGAATCAGTATTTTCTTTAGAACATATAAAAACAACACTGACACATTAAAAAAGCGTTATCGTTGTAAGGTTAGGAACAAACAAAAAAGCAAACTGTTCGTTTGGAGCACGATTAAAATAAAGTAACACACATAAATTTTACAGCAATAAGGCTCATCAGATTAGATGGTAGTACAAATTGACAAAAATTATGAGAAACAAGCGTCCAATAGGGACTCATAAACACACATGTTGCTTGCAAGTGTGCGCGTGGCTTATCAATGGTAAATTAGAACATAAGCGATACGCGCACTCAACTTTTACGAACGTAAACGTTTACGTTCGTACAAGTTGCTTACGCACACTGCGAGCCAGTGCGTAACATACGCAGTTTCGCTCACTGTCGACATACACAATTTGGCGTGTACGCTGTGCACACATGATAAAACGCGTGTTATGCGTGTGAACAGGACTGTCAATGCTGTTTACTTGAATTTGGCGAAAGCCGAACTGAGTTCGTTGATAGCCGCGTTGGTGACGGCCTGTCCTACGGCCTGGTTGATCTGTTGTCGCATGTGAGGCGGCAGCTGGCCCATCGCGCCCGCAACTCCACCACTTCCCGGTCGCCTATTGATTTGTTTCTTTTAATTTCACAGGTCATTACATTATTCGTTGATATGTAAACTTTTTCACATATTGCAAATTATTAGCAAAATTAAATTATTATTATTATTATCTTGCTCTGACAGCTTCTCTGTAAGACACTAGAGTAATGTAACTGCCATAATTTACAAATTATATGTAGGAAAAGCTCTTACAGGGCAACTGTGAACCTATAATATGTTTTAAGTGCAATCACAACTAATTTACTCACGTACAATTTTTATAAATACATTCGTAAAATAAAATGGTTTATATAACAAAACACAAACAGCTATTGGAGTCATCTAATTCAAGAAAAAAGTGTACTATCGAAAAAGTGTAACAGGAACAGTTATTTACAGAAGACCACACACAAGTAATCTCAACTAAAACATGCAGTGCTTTTTAAACCTCTATCGTTTAAAACTCTATATACATAGTATAATGCTCACTCGCAATATTAGGGTTAAGCATATTATAATGAAAGAACTGATGCACATATAAACTATTGAACACTAAGCAAAGGAAATATAAAAACATTTTATATTTGTTAAATCCACAACCTTACCTACTCATAATAACATGATAATATATATTAATAATAATTTACATTACCCCGCCAAATTAAATTTACTGAGCTGTGTAATATTTTTAAATCTGACAACCTACTGCTGATAGAGCGGGGTCATTATTCTAAAATTTTATAACCTAGTTTTCATTATTACTTTAATAATCATTTGGAAGCAACGTTATTTCACGCATCATAAGAATTCGTGGTTTAAATATTATATCTAATGTATTGTATAACATATGTATAATTATATATAAATGTTTGCCGAATCTTTATTAACTTAATACAGTCAAACATTTATAGTAATTTAAAAGATTTATAAGTGAAAATATAATTTAAAATGAATGATCTGATGAAGGATTAAACTTACTTAAACAGATGTGTTATTAGGACAGTATTTTTTATATTACTTTAGACATACCTCTATATCTATATGAATATTTAAATAGTCTTAGTGTTTGACCACAACAAACGACAGTGTTAATGATGTAAGCAGTTAAAATTAAATGAAAGCTATTTTAACTGTACTAAGTTAACATGGCCATAAGTTAGTACCTTATATAAATATGTATCTAATGTTAGTTAGGGACGCGCCGATGCCACCACCTAGCGCCGTCTGCGAAAATAACCACACACTCAACTATTGCACCAATAAAAGTTAAAGACGTGTTAATTTTATAAACCTGATATAAGTAACTTTAGTGAGAATAAAAGCACACAAAGGTTTCGATGTTATTTGATAAGTAATGGAATGATATCCCATATCATCTCCTAAGATCAATATTATGGCTGTTACATCACCCAAAACAAATTGTTAACTTAAAGCGAAAAAGCTTACATAATTATAATTATAATTAATAAAAAATAATTTAATATCTAATAGCCTCTAATTAGGAGTAGTATTTTATTCAGTTATTGAGGATTCTTATAAAGACTCAATACAGTTTTCATTATATCTTTGTTCTGAAAGATTTAAATATAAATATCGGGAACTTTCATAAAAATTATGTATTTTTTAAAGCGTGTACTTAAGTTGATTTAAACTTCCTTAGATAGTTGAGTACACATAACACTTAATATTGTTTTTATTGTTTTAAAAAATATATATTAAACAACCTTGCTATTTACGGAAAACCTGTTCTTTTCTAAAGCTGTAAAAGACTTTTAAATATATTATAAACAAAATATTCATTTGAAAATATTGAAATGCAATTTGCACAACAGTATTAGATTGAGGCCTAATTGTACGCAGTTTTGTGTAAGCATGAAATACCATAATTGACTTAAATTGAAAATAATATTCACCAGGTACTATTTTAAAGAAGATAATTTCTTTTTGTATTGAGAATGGGCACACCACCGTAACCAGGCGTAACTTAATAAAACACATGTCGATTTATCCCTTATAATATATAGATTACAATATTAGTGTTAGTTTTACAGTATCTAACGGGAATACTGAGAAATTAACAATTAAAATATGAAATCACAATAACCTAAAAACAAAATAAAAGCGATTGTCTAGTAGTTTTCACCGGTATTATAAGTTAAAATAGTGCACTGGTCAATAATTAATAGGGTAAAAGAAAGTTGTATGTACATTCAGCATTTATAGGTACTTTAAGGTTAATGGAAAGAAAAATTATTAGTTCATTCTTCTTTATACGCATTTTTTTTTTCATATTAAATTTGCCAATTCACGAATATCAAAAGAACTTTTTTTTTAGATTTCATGATTCCGGTTACATTTTCATAAAATCTTTAGGCCGTTTACTATAATAAATTGGTATCTTATTTATGTTTAATAAAATTAAGTTACGTTAAAGTTTCTAGTGGACCCAAAAACGATTGTCTCCTTTGGCCAATTAGTTTTAAAACTCTATGCAATGAGAGTTTCATCGAATAGTTTGGTTTGATGTTGTCATCAGAATTGAAATTGTTTTAAACACCCAAACTTCGTTCTGAGCACATACCATCCAAACAAGATAAATAACTTTGAAAAAGTTGGCTCGCCTAACTTTAACATTCGTGGAATTATTGAAGATGTTCAAATTTAAGATACGGCTTATTGGAATGTGAGGAATGGCACTAACAGCCGGCCCAATATTCAAACTGCGATTAAAAATAGATAGCTAAACTCGATAGACAGGAATTAGTTATCTATTGTTTGAAGTCATCCCAATCATTATTGAAATACGAAATTCCTATGACCATTTCGACCCGAGCTTTTCGTTTTATTCCATTGCACATAGACCAAAAGGGAGTGCTGCTTAAGGTACAACAATGTTTTGACTGCATTTCGTGAACTTTTAAAACTGTGACCTGCGACCGTTATGTGCAAATTATGATTTGTAATTGAATGTAGTCTTACGCTAATAGGCTTCCTGCATATTAATTAAAATAAATATGATATTTGCTGTGACTAATTTATACTGTTACGAGCTTGGGGTTCGAGACAATTAAAAACTGCCGAGTGAATTACCAAAATTGACACTAATTACACAACTCTAATTACAACTTAAAATCGCACTAATAATAAAACACAGTTATACTACTGATCACTTTAGTTCGCAGTTATTTCGCTTCGAAGTATTCGCTTGTATCGCCAATTCAATACTCTCCCGGTCGTGGTCTATACCGGCCTTATATAGGGCCTCAGATAGTTTCCATTACCTTCTACTGTAGCGACATCTAGAATGTTCGAGTACAAATCGGTCCCGAAATTTCTAGAAGGATCTTGACTCTCCTAGTTCTGCTACTCGACACTAGAAGGCGCTATGGGTAACTAGTGTTGCCATGTACAAGACATTAATGGTGGCGCGCAACAATACTAATAATATAAGGCAGAATCGTTTGTAAATCAATTAAAGAAAATCGTGGAAATTACTTACACGTGTATTAAATAAGATACAAATGTATTTCATTTATTCTGTAGTAAATTTTATTCAAATATTAATCACAACACAGTTTTAAAGTTCTGAACGATATGAACCAGTCAAAAGTAAGTTTAATCGAAAATGAATGACATGCCTTCGCAACCCACGACCAACAGAATCTAGTTTATCACACAGATCGGCCCGAATGACCCGGTTTGTATAACGAATCAATACTTGAGGATCGCGTCGTTAGAAATGAACAATTAACACAAGTGGATGCATGTAGGGATGGGTCAACTCGACTTACTACATCGAGTTAATTCTGGTTCCGTTCAATTTCAATTACCTCGAGTTGGATAATCACTAATTTGAGTTCGGACTGGCGGTAATTGAACCGAAATACAAGCGAG